TATCATCTGTTTTAACATCGGTATTCGTCCTCGTGGTTGTCCCCTGGGGCGATCTTGAAAGGAGCGAACTCTTCTCAAACGGATTTTTATCCGTCATATTTTTCACTCTTGCTGGACTCGATTTCAGGAAGTCAAGTTTTCCTCTGATGTAGCATTTTTGACAGCCGATGAACTGATCGTCTCTCCAAAAACAATACACACCATGTTTACACTTGTGTGGCAACAGCGACATAGAAGTTTCGGCCGTAACCGCACTTTGTTTACGTTATCTCGCGGTCGCTGCGCGCCGCGATGCCCGGGCCGCGAGCCGAACCAAAAGCTTTACCGTCTCACGAGCGCTCTACAAAACACGTCTGCACAGTTCGAAAGATCAACACCGAATCCAATTTATTTTATCGTTTTACTTGTTTTATTTCCTTGCTGACTCTATTTTTTTCTTCACTCTATTTTATTTTTCAAGTACTTAATTTTTCTTCTTTAATTATTTACTTCTTATTCCTTTATTTTGTTTTATTTTTTACTCTAATTTATTTTAATACTTTATAATGTTTACTTTTTGAATTCATTCTATTCTTTAACCTCATTTAGATTTTCCCTTATACTTTATTTTTTTCTTCACCTCATTTTTTTACTTCATCTCCATGCTCTCTCTAATGTTTTACTTCAATTTAGTCTTTGACTTCATTTTATCATATATTTAATTCACTTTATTTTATTTCTCTTCTGTTGTCTCTGTAATTCTATTATATCTGATATTCTATTACTTCCACTATTCTATTATTTTATTTATTTTTTTCTCTTTAAATTTTTCATTTTCATTATGGGAGTGGTAGGCCTAAAGGGAAGAAGAGACAGTATATAGCGCTAGTGCGAGAAAGAGAGGTGCGCGTGACTTAGGATCCAACTGAAGCTCCGGTGCGGATGCTTTGCGCACTCATGTGACACATCTCAGCACCTATGCGCTAAATCTCACTCCCCTATTCATTCTCACGCCGGATTTTCCGTCGGACGGAATCAACGATTTTTAACAGTGTATATTTGGCCGATTCAAAAAAAAAAATCAAAATCAAATCAAATTAAATTATGGAAAAGAAAGAATTATTGAGAAAAAATGGAAGAAAAATATTTTTAGAAAAGGAATTTCCAGGATAGATTCACTAGCGCTTATGATGATTTTCGAAAAAAACTACTTTTTTGATTGCCCCTCGTGCACACGCGTATTTCCAATCGCCGGATACTGAACATTCTGTTGCCGGCTACAGATGGCTGTCTTGGCAGCGGATGGTTATTGCCGTTATCCTATCACCACTATCTAGTGATAGCCACAAATGGCCAGCTATTGAATGTCCTATCGCTGGCTATTCATGGCTATCGCCGGCTGTAGAACGTTCTATCGCCGGCCATTCGTGGCTATCGCCGGCTGTAGAACGTTCTATCGCTGGCCATTCGTGGCTATAGCCGGCGATTGAACGTTCTATCGCCGGCCATTCGTGGCTATAGCCGGCGATTGAGCGTTCTATCGCCGGCCATTCGTGGTGATAGAGCTTTTTATCGCCGGCCATAAGGGCGATAAGAAAATCCTATCGCCAGCTATAAAAGCTATAGAAAATCCTACAGCCGGCCATAAGATTTCTCTATCGCCTTTATGGCTTATTTTTACCAGGGTTTATAAAAAGGAAAGTCACTTACATTAATCAAAAACCCGCTTTTGTTCACCTATTTTATTCTTGATTCAAAATAAAATCTTCTTGACGGCATACTCAAGAATGTTCCTTTATCTCTCTTATCTCGACTTATTTTGCAAGAAAAGTTCCGTACTCTTAAAGGATGCCTGTCATTCTTATTGGTGGTATGTTGGAGTGCCTACAATTTCAAATAATACTGTACAACACTTCTATGGTGAAATAGTGAAGCGTCGTGGCACGTGGCACGCTGCGACGCGCGGCGCGCGGCGCGGCCAGCCAGCCAGCACGGAACGCGTACTGGCGCCTACAAACCTAAGAGATACCTCAAGCATTGCGCAATGCGAGAAGTATCTGCTTAGGTTTGTAGGCGCCAGTGCGCGTTCCGTGCTGGCAGCACGTCGCATCACTCCGCTTTATGCAAGGGCCTATTATTAAAACTTGCGGAGGCAGCGTTTTTCAACTCATGATTTGTATAGGTATGTTTGCAAACTCTGCGAGGATTACTTCAACTTAAACTGATAAAACAAAATATATATATGAAAGGAAAATTTAATGTGTGTTTTGTAAATATTAAGGTATTTCCATGTCGTATTTAATGATTTTCAAAAGCACATTAATTTTTTCTCTTATATTTTGTGCTTTTACTATACTGCAGCGTGGCGTGAGCGCAATCAAACGCTCAAAAGAGGACGTATTTGACTCTGAAAGATCGATGTACCTGCAAATGGGCTAAAACCGACAATTGCGTGCTTCTCGGTTTTTCCCCTCTTTTATTCATTTGTGCATAGTTTCTTTCGATACAACTACTGCTCATTATTGACTTTAATATCGATGCCATCGCTTGTCGACTGTACGAAGAATTAGCTACAAACAATTTTGATTTAAGAAAATGGGGGTGTTAAATGAGAGAAATAAAAACTGTCATCATCTATAATTTTAGGAGAGATGGATCCGGATGCACCAACATTTCTGAAAAAGGAAAATGCCGGGAAAAAATCGGTCCTTCCGAAGGGTGAACTACCTCATAAGGCAGTCTCTGAGCAATTTGCAACAAGTCAGTTTTTCAAACAAACGAAGTAAGTTCACCGATCATTACAAATGATTAGGAGTTTGAGCCACTATATATGTTCTTCCGCCGAGCAAAATTTAGATCACTTAAAGTACGAAGAACCCACCCAAATATCCTGAGACAATTTTGATTCAAATTGACCAGAAAGCCCTCCTCAGCTTAAAGTGGTATTCTGTTCATTGGAACAGATTGATGGACTTGCTTTTATTGGTGGCCGTTAGCGCGAGTAAGGGCGTAAGTAGTACATCCCATTGCAATGTTTTGGAATTCCTAAGGATGCTACTGCTTTCATTTATTTTGTATCTTTCTATTTCATTCTTTGTTATTGTACCTATGTCCACTTATTTTTTGGCCTTAGGTAAGTTATATCACATGGCCATTGGTTTTCCAGTGAAAAATTGTAATATCTTCAGAAATTCGGAACGTTGCGATGCAGTTTTAAAATTACAAATGAATGATCATTGAATGATCATAAACGCGTATCTTTATTCTGCCGTGCTAAGGAAAAATGTCGTATGAACCTTCAGGCGTTGCCAAATTTCCTTTGATAAAACACAAATTTCCTGGTAAACTTATGAATATTTTCCCTCCAATTTTGCATATAATTTAGATCACAATTTTACCTAAAGTTCCTGAGAATTTCAAGGAAAAATATTCATAACTTGCCTCAAAAATAAACATTTTATCGATGTAAATTTGGCAACTCTCGAATGTTCGTACGGCGTTTTTCCTTGGCACGGCAGTATTGCTGTGCGTCGACCTGATTTTTCAAGAAAGGTAAATCGATAATTTTGCCTCGAACGATTGAGAGAAAGCAGACTTTTTTTGGAATAAAAGTTGATTCACTACGAAAATCGGTCCAAGCAACCAATCTCTTGTCATTATCCAGTTTGCAGTGAGAAAGTTCGGTTACATGAACCAAATTTGTGGTTGTTGGAGCCGAAAGTACGGTCATAACCAAATAAAGCGGCCTATATCGATGGCTAAAGTGTAAAACCACGTTCGTATCTCCACAACGGTGTTTAAAAACGTCCGCTCCTGTTTAATTTTTTCGAAGAAAAACGAGCCAACTCATTTGAATATTCTGATGCACAGAAAAAAAATCGGGTAAAACAAGAAATTAAGTTGCCTACTTAGTATTTCAAAGAAAAAATAATGTATGAGAGGCAGGTTTTAACGTTGCAAACGGAGATGCGCGGTTTCGCTCTTTGCAGGTCATCGATATGTGCCACCTTAATTTACATACTTTAAACTATGGAGGTAAACTATTTCCCATACTATAGGTTTCCTTTTAACAAACTTAAAACCGCGTGACACTGGAAAAAAAGTGACAGACATGATCTGTACTTTCAGGGTGTACCCAGAATGGGATTTGCCATCCGTCACGCCTGCCTACAATTTAATGGTCGTCAAAAAGGAGTTGCAAAAGACCGAGAAGATTTTAGAGGAGAAGCGGAAGGAGAATAAACAGTATCGCGATCTACTGGACTCAGAATGGGCAACATTGCGACAGAAACAAAAAGAAGTTATGGAATCCTTCCCCAACCATCAGACTTTCATAATTGTAAGTTTGTCTCCGATTCTCTTTTAAGAGTATAGAACAGTGACACACCAGTGAATACTGCCGTGAAAAACGCCAAAGGCACATTCAGACGTTGCCAAACTTCTGTTGACAAATCGCGAGTTTTGGACAAAATTTGTAAATATTATTCTTCCAATTTTTCAGAGAATTTTGTTCGTCATAATGTCTAAAGTGTCTGAAATTTAAAAAAAAATACTTAAACATTTTTCAAAAATAAATCATTTCTGAGAAGAACTTTGGCAACATTTGAATACTCATTGGCGTTTTTAATTGACACGGCAGAACAGTCCTACGGGTGCGAGATAGAATATTGAATGACTCAGCTCTGACCGACGGCATTACATTGGCCACGTTGAGAGCGTCAGGCGCTTTGATACAACTAAACCTCCTCGGCGGATGTCCGTATTGCATATCCGATAAATTGAAGGGAGGCCGGATCCGTCCCGTTGCGTTGCCTGATACGCACTCGCGCTCTCTGCCGAATCCCTCTTACTAATGCTAGGACCAAAGTTCTAATTATAAGTGTCGGGATTTCAGTACACATGAGAAACTCCTAAGGAGGTTTCAAGTCGAGAAGGTTTCGCAGTGCATCGCTGAATACCGCAGAAGGAGAAGAAAAACTCTATCTCGCTTCTTAATCGAAATTCGATGAGAAAAGTTACAAAACACGTATCTCGATACCGACGTTTCAAAATTTCTGCTGTTGTTGGATTTTTCTGAAGAAGAATCAATGAACTTTTTAATTCGAAGCATATACAAAATGTTATCCCTACACTGCAGAATTGGAGAAAAAAATCATTTAAAAGTTCTAGAGGACATTGTTGGTTGTTTGCCTTTGAAAAAGTAATCTGTGACAAAAAATCTGCAAAATTTCAAATCGTGATTACGAGACTTTCACATCTCATTAGTTTTATTTCATTTACTTTTTAACCTGATAAGATGCCTTATTCTCCTTGTCCCTGCTCGCTGTGGCATTCGAAGTCAATAATTCTCTCTCACTCTCCACCTTCATTTCGCCGCCTTAAAATTCCCTAAAATCTAGACAAAATTCGGAGGAGAGCATCTACAAGATGTTTTTCCTGGAGGACCGACGTGGTCTGGAAAATAAATGGGAAGAAACTCGAGATATTGGCAAAAGATTGGTTTACAATGTCATTACATATGTACCGTATAGATTAGGACAGGATAAGCAATTGGTCACCTTGATCGAAATCTCGAACACTGGAACACCAAGCCTCTTAATTTGAGCGGATGTCCTTTTGATTTGAGCTTGAATCTGAGTAAATCTTAAGAGTCATTTTTCTTGTCAATGTTTTCAAGAGTCTGGACTCTAGGTCCAATGTGTTTTTTTTTTTCCAGTGAAGGGAAATTTCATTTTCTCCTGTTCAGCCCTGAAACATTGTATGTGATGAGCACTTTTAGTTTATTAAGAATTTTTTTGAAATTTTGTAGGAGAACGAGAAAAAGCGAGAGCGAGCGGAGCACGTGATTAAGATTGAAAAAGAAAAACAGGAGAAATTCGATTCGTCTATTAATGAGTTGAAGGAGAAAATCAAGGAGTCGCTCAAAATTCGAGACGTCATGCAAAGTTACGTGGACCAGTACAAAATCTACGAGGTGAGTATTCAGTCACTAACAGGAGCGTCGTAGTATTACATCGTGATTAAAGGGAAAGCCGTGATAGCATTAGAAAGTTACTCAACTTCTCATTTTTGGGGATAAGTTACACACGTTTTTCTTTGAAATTGTATAGGTTCACTGCCCCATCGGAGGCTTTATAGACTTTGAAAGCCTCAAACAAAAATACTCTTTTTTAGAATTTAACAATTAATATGTTTGCTGTAGAGTGTTTATACATTCTAAAGGTCTCGAAATACCCCCCTCTCCCCACCCCTCAAAATAAAAATATTTTAAACTCATTTTAGATTGAAAAGACAAGCACGAATTTCGAAAAGTCCCCAACTCCAGGGACGTTCATATTGCACCAGTAATAATAAGGGACCAAAAAGTTACATATTTTTGAATAGGGAGCTCTCTTAGCTGGAACTGTGTCACATGTGCCAAAGTCATTTCCCATTCATCGAACATTTTCGGCTAAATTCAGTTTTTTTCGTCCTCTGGCCTCCTATTTTCGGAGTTGGGCAGACAGGCGGCCAGGATTTTGGGCAGCTTAGCCGGCATGGGGTGGGAGGGGGGGGGTGTCTGAGAAGGAATCCTACTGTTAGAAGGGGGCTTGCAGGGTGTCCACTAAAACAAGCTGATCAAAAATAAGTATACTTTTACAGTACTTTTCCATTACCTTATCAAGAAATTCAGTACCTCCTCCGACAGAAAAAATCCGTACTTTTTCAGTACCTCCATTTGACGAAATTCGAAACATTTCAAAAATTTGAAATTGCGACAAAAATGACATAAAATTAAAAAAAAAATTCCGGACCTTTTTGCGGAATTTCTACTTTTTCAGTCCTTCCGGACCGCCCTAAAAAATCAGTACTATTTCCGGACTTGTAGGCACCCTGCCTTGGGAGGGGGAGGGGGATACGTCCTTGAAGTTGAGCTAATAAAAAAAACTATTAAATTTACTTGTGCACAGGATTACTTGAAGAGTGTGGTGGAGTCAAAAATGACATAAAATGTTAAAAAATTCTGGATCTTTTTGCGGAATTTCCACTTTTTCAGTGCTTCCGGACCGCCCTAAAAAATCAGTACTATTTCCGGACTTTCCGGACTTGTAGACACCCTGGCTTGAGAGGGGGAGGGGGATNGGGGGGGGGGGATACGTGCTTGAAGTCGAGCTTATCTAAAAACAAACTATTGAATTTACTTGTACACAGGATTACTTGAAGAGTGTGGTGGAGTCGCTGCCGGAGTTCAACTCGATCAGGGAGGTGATCGACAGGTACCGGACCCTGATCTCGGTGGAGCGGGAGCTGGAGGAGAGGAAAGGAGCGGAGGTGGCGGCGATGGAGGGATACCGGAAGAGTATGGTCGAGCTGACGGTGAGCAAGTCACAGGAGATGATGGTCCTCAATAACAAACTCATCGAGCTCCAGAGTAGCCACGAGCGGGCGAGCAATCAACTCAATTGGTTCCAAGACATGCTCTCCGTCATCGATGCCAACGCCAGCAGACTCTTCGTCGAGCACTCAATCGTAACTATTCCCAATTATAATACTTACGACAAATGTGATCGGGCATGGGAAAAGAGGACTCAAAGGAAAAGTTCAAGTTTTACAGGAGGGTGAGAAACCGTTATTCGGGTCAGTAATAGCGATTTTCGTTTTTGATGAAAATTAATCGAAAATATTTTGTCGAAGTTTAAAGTCAGAATTACCACTATTAACTTAAGTTGAATCACTAAATACAAAAAGAGCACATGTTCAGAAAACCAAATTGTTCAGGAGACACAAAAAACTGTTTATTTCGTGGTAGATATTTTTTGGAAAGTCGTTATGTTTAAAAAAACCGGTGCGGGGCGAAGCGGAGCATAACGACTAAACATAATGACATAAACATAACGACTTTCCAAAAAATATCTACCACGAAATAAACAGTTTTTTGTGTCTCCTGAACAATTTGGTTTTCTAGACATGTGCCCTTTTTGTATTTAGTGATTCAGTTATAAACTTTAATTGAACTTTGGAAATGAAATAATAAGTCAAAAGTTGGCTCAATTTGACTGCATTTTTCTCGAAATCGCGACTTTACGACCTCGCGAACTCAAAAACGCTCTGTAAAAAGTCATTGTTTGGCTATTATTGCCGGTGGGTGATGCGAACATGTGGACAACCCCTTTAAACAATGGTAAGTATATAAATCTCAAATTGTGTCTTATTCGCTTTAAGACCCTTTTTTCCATAGGTACCCGGTCACAAATAAAGCCTTTCATAGCAAAAGAAAGCTAGGTACCTATTGATGAACTGCAATATTACGTGTTTCCGCACTGCGGTGTGTCTAAATCTCCACTCCTAATTTATTTTTTTAAAAAAAGACTAAGCCAACATTGTGGCTTGAAATTTCCAGTCACGCCGTTGATTACCTTAAATCATTAAACGATGCGAGCATATTACCTGCATCAATCATTAATGCAGCAGTTTTGTGCAAAAGTGCGAAATTTTACGCGATTTATCTAAATAATATTGTAAATTATATTTTCGATGGAAAAAATTTAAGATTACAAAAGCTCTACAACCCTGTGATCCTAGGATTGCAAGTTCGCGGTGTGCGCTTTTCGGAGATGGTGCACACCGGGGTAGGTTCGACAGAAAGAAAATACGACTTTTCAACGGCTAGAGTACGCACCCGACGCACCGTGCTGTGCTGTACGCGCAATGCATGAAGTATCCAGTTGTCTTGTAAGGCGCTGAACTATGCGCGACTCGCACCGTGCTGTACGCGCAATGCATGAAGTATCCAGTTGTCTTGTAAGGCGCTGAACTATGCGGCGCACTATGGTCCGAATAGCCGGTTTAAGCGGCATTAAATCAGATATGTATGTTTAAACCATAGAGTGCATAGAGTCGTAATGTAAATGGGAGAGCTGGCGCCATGTTCTGCTCGATGAATTCCGAGCCCGGTGTGCGCCGAGTTCGGGTCGCTTTTTCGATACATTTTCGATCCAAAATGGCGGTGTGGAATACGTGGTAATTCCTATCTCCTCTGTTGTTGTTGTTGTTGTCATCGGATGGCCGGGTACCCGTGTATCGCAAACAATCGATTATGTATCGAAAAAGTGACCCGGCGTCACACAGGAGTCTCGGAATTTGGGACATGGAAAATGCTTAAAAGTGGCGCCAGCTCTCCCAATTACATTACGACTCTATGTACTCTATGGTTTAAACCTCGCAACATGAGTTTTCAGGGGTTTTTAGGGTCGCTGAGTGCAAAAATGCTAATATTCTTCAGGAAAAATCCATTTTTAACATTTTTATACTTTATATAACTGTGGTAATATTTTGTTCAAAAACCTTAAATTGAGGCACGCAGGCCAAGATGATGCGGTGGAGCAGTCGACATCGCGTCTCACTTGTCTTCTTGATATCCCGGATTCAATTCTCGGTAATTTTTTTTTTTTTTTTTTTTTTTTTTTTTTTTTTTTTTTTTTTTTTTTTTTTTTTTTTNTTTTTTATTTTTTTTTTATTTTTTTTTTTTTTATAAGTTTAAAAATTAATTTTACATTGGATGGACTATAAGAAGCTAAAAGTAGAGCCTCGTCAAACACTACTATCAAGGGAAGTTGAAAAAGAGCTCAGGATAATACTTCTACGTTTCATGGCTCCAGAGGCCTACTTTCAAGTCCCACCGATCAGCCGTTTGAACTTGTTTTCGTCTGCCAAGCTAAACTTAAGCTTAAATATATCCATTTTGATAGATTATTTGTTTGAAACATGGGTAAACGTAAAAAAAAAAAACGTTTACGGGACCTCAAAGTGGCTTCCTAAGACAATTTCATTGCTCGGGAGCCTTACTTTCAAGTCCCACCGATCAACCGTTTAGACTTGTTTTCGTCTGCCAAGCTAAACTTATGCTATATCTACACTGATAGATTATATGTTTGAAACACTTAAAACGTCAAAAAAAAACTTTTACGGAGCCTCAAAGTAGCCTCCCGAGGCGATTCTTTGCTGTTCTTGAGCACAAGTTTCAATTGGTCCCGATCAACCCCATCAACTCGTATTATTCTGCCTGGGCAGATTTAGGCTCTAATGCATTCGATTTGCTAGAATATGACAATGGAACATGATAAAATTCATCGTCAATGGCATATGATAGCTAATTGTTGTAAGTGATAAGAAACGCGAAAACGTCTTTTTCATGAGAAATAACTTGAGGCGATTGTGTGTGATTGATCTGCCACTCAGACTAAAAGGTAGTCTAGAGTCATGACAATAACTTCCGAGTAAAATTACGAGGTGCTCAGAGGTGCAAAGGATATTTTTTGGGTCCTACTTTTGCGAATTTATTGAAAAAAGTGACTATGTCTAAGGGTTAATCTAGAACATTAGATATGATGAAAAAGAACAGTTTCAGCATGAAACATCTTAAACTTATCTTATATTTTGTGAATCAAGTGCCCAAACACTTTCAGGTACGGTGAAACGACGAAAACTAGCCCTTAAACACAGCACTGCCGCTCGGTAACTGGAATCGCACTCATAAAGTGCTCCGCGCGCCGCACTTCCCAGGCTTGTCACATCTTTATTAGTGCTTTAATCGAAGTGAAATTTTACAGGTGTCTTCTCTACAGTATGTACTATCGATCTACCGCTTAAAATCTAACTTTTTCCAAACTTCACTTTTTCGATTCATTGCCGCTTAAACCGGCTATTCGGACCATAGTGCGGCGGCTCGCACCGTGCTGTACGCGCAATGCATGAAGTATCCTGCTGTCTTGTAAGGCGCTACTATGCGGTCCGCGCCGCGCCATCCATGCCAGCCCCGCGCCGGCCGCACCGTGTTTAACGCGCCGATTTTCACACTTGCGGCGTCGGCGGTTTCCAACTTATGGTTTTGAAGTTTTTGTACATTTTGTTGGAATTAGTGTCATCTCAAACGATAAAACATTACATAAAACCCAACAAATTTCTTCTCTTCATTTACATATTTTTGATTATAATTTTAAATAGAGGCATGCAAGTGAAACCGCTTTTAGGCATAGACTCCCTCGTTTCTCAGCGAAGTAATGACGTGATCATTTGGACTACATTCTGCTTTTCGGTTACCAACCATTTCTGGCTCATCTATAAAAACACTTGTGTGCATTAGGAAACTAACGGTATACACGCAATTTCTGGCTCATCAATAAAAACACTTGTGTGCATAAGGAAACTAACGGTATATACGTTGCTCCTTAACAAAGCCGAAGATTGTGGGTAGCCAGTGCCTTTTTCAAACTGCTACTACTTACTGTACTTAATCATAGAGCTGGTAGTGATACTTTACCATAATGATTCTTGTCAACATAATTTGTAGAAGTTTCAAGCTCCACGCTGGGAATACCTAATCTAAGAGGCAGGTATTCACTCGAGAAGACTACCCTAAAACTTAATCTATACTTTTCATTCTAATTCTGTTTGATACGTCTTTTCCATAATCATATGATCTAATTTTTTTAAAAATTAGGAGCTATCTTCCTGGGACAACGATTATGCTGCAAAAATGCAGTTACATCCCTTGGACTCTTACAACTTTAATGGAGAAAACCCAATTAATTGTTAAAACCCACTGTTGCATTTTAGATATTTCCATCAGAAAATCTGAGTTGTTCTCTCTTTTGTTACAGGTCAAAGCAGCTATACTGAACTTATTCAAGGAGCTTTGCAAATTTAAGAGGCTTCATCACATTTCAGTCAAAGAAAATGATTATGAAGCACAACTTAAGTTCATAAAAACATCATACCAGGAATTATTAAAAATTGCAAATATTGCGAAGGCTCAAGAGGTGTCAGATGAACAGTCTATTATGGCAAATCTTTCATTTGATTCAAATTAATATGATCAGAGTGATATTAAACCACCACCAGTACAATATATTGTTTTATCTTCCTTAATAGTTCTCATTTTTAAAGGGGAAATGATTAAAAATCAAAATTGAATTCTGAAAAATAGATGAAAACAAGATGGAAGCATTTTCTGTTAGAGGATGCTCATGAATTCAGAAAGATACTGAATAAACCTTTAAGGTTTACTCTAAGATTTTGTCATTCAGAAGATATCAAATATTTCTCGGAGAATGTAGTGTATTCCGTGCCAGCTTGCTTTCAGCAAAGGAATGGTCTATATCATGCCTGACTGGTATTCAAGTGTAAATTGGACTACATTTTGCGATTTGGGACTGCAATTGCATGCATGTGTATTGGGCAACTGATGGTACATACATCGTTTCTAAACTGAGCTGGAAATAGTAATTCCAAATTGCAATAAGCAGCAGTCCAATCAAGGTGCAGATTAATTTGCGAGCTTCAAAAACGAACCCCACTTAATTACACTTGAGAAAGACAGAATCATTACCAGACCTTCTACCTCATTGTCAGTTAAATAAGACTTTTGCTGTATTTAAGCATCTTGAGATGACTTCTTTCTTTAAACAAATGAACTATTCCTTGAAAACTTAGTCTTATTTTAATGCTTATGAACTAAGAAAAGTAAATGTAGCTCTGTTCAAGCGTTGTCTGAGATTTGTTGTACACTTCCGCATGATTGTAGCAAAACCAGGGTTGCCAGACATTGGAAAATGAAATTTCCTGACATTTCCCTCACACATTTTGGTGAAATTCCCTGACAATTGAAGATGTGGCGGATGGTTAAGAAGGCATAATTGAAAATAGTTTTCAAGCAAAAGAAGGTGTTTTAACATATTTTCCCTGATATTTGCGTCATTTCCCATGATTTCTTAAAATTCCCTGACAGTGGCAACCCTGCAAAACCACTGAACACATGGTTCCATAAAATTGGAATGGGGTTTGAAATTATAATTTCTCCTTCATTTAGTTGAGAGTTATGAATTACTTGACATTTTGGTATGAAATTATCAAAGATTATTCTGAGGAAAGTTCAGAAATTTCTCACAAAATGGCAAACAATAATGGTGATTTACCGATCATTCTTTCAAAAAATAAAGTGTGACAGGAAATCTATAATGCCAAGCGATGTAAAATTTCAAGAAACTTTCTAAAATTAAATTTGTTCTGGCCATACCTGGGTCTTTCTTTGAGGCTAACTTTAATATTTAGAAGTAGAATTCAGCATTTCTTAATCCAGTCGACACCAAAATTTCGCCAGGATCAGAAATATAAATGGTAAACTGATCAATGCTCAATATGATTCACTGGAACTTGATGCATTTCCTCTTCAGTTCACACTTTTCCAATAATTTTAAAGCTTAACATTTTTCCTATTGAAAAGAGGAAATTCCTCGACAAATGGACCTTTCCTACACGAATGTATTCAAAGGAGACCACACTCGATATCAAGAAATTAGGCACCAGCTAATCGAGATCTGCTGATGATGTTCCTTACTATCACTTGAGTAAAATGAGCTTTTAAAATCAAACTATTTGTGCCAATTTCGAGAAAAACAGGCTTGTACAGTGCATTTTGGGCAGTTTTGCAAGCTTGATCTGGTGGAGAAATGTAGATGGCCAAGGGCCTCCAACGAGCACCTCTTTTCTCATATCACACTAGTTGGGGTTTGGCAACTAAGGTAAAAAAGAGGCTACAAGTCTTCATCTGAGTAACTAAGCCACTTTTCTGAATAGAGCCACTTCATAAATTGATGAAAAATGCACTTATCAGGCAGATTTTCTCAAGATCTGCAAAAAGAACGTTGGATTTAAAAAAACTTATCGTGCTCAGGTCCCATGGAACATTAGCAGATATATGTAGTCTATGAAAAATTTAATCTATCGATGAAACTGGTACTTGTGGAAAAAATAATTATAATTAGAAAACAACAGAGAATGGATAAGTATCTATTGAAATGAAGACCATCCTGAATGCAATAAAAAATATAAGAAAATGTAAAAGACTCACAATTTAGCTAGCCCCAAATGTCTTGATCACAAGTGAGTCTTTTCCTCTGATGTGCCATGATTGATCACTGAAGTTTGACGTAATCCTTCTAGCTTAACTCATTCTTAAAAATGTCTGTGAACTGATATTATCTCCTGAGTGAGGAATCTTTGAAAGATAAGAAGAAAATTCCGCTTTGTAATAAAAATAACCAAAAGATGATTTATTTTTTCACATGAATTCAAGTCACAAGATATTGAAATCATCCAGTTTAAAAGAAAACAGCAGAAAGCAGTTACTTGTCGATAAAAAATGAAATCCTTATTTCTTGGAGGCAGCAGCTGCAGCAGCGGCGGCATCTTCCTTTGCGTACATTTGTTGGAGTTCCTTCCTCTTGGCCTTAACTCTTTCTTCTCGTCGTTTACGTGCTTCCTTGACCTTGTGTCTCTTGGCTTCGGCTTGGTCAGCCAACATCTTAGCGCGAGCCTGGTCAGCCTTCTTTTTGTGAATGTATTCAATTAAAACTCGCTTGTTCTTGAAAGTGTTACCTGCAAAGTATAGAATGTGGATTATACAGGTGAAAAGAGAAGGATTCATAATTTCTGTGATGCTTGGAAAAAGTGTTTTTTTTAATAATTGATACACCTAACCCAATAACTAAATTAGGAGAAAGTGGTTTCAAGTACCCTAAAACTTTCTGATAATTAACAGGGCAAGCTGGTAAAGCAGGTGCAATTGAGATTTGATTTTTCTCAGAAAAATGGTTCTTAATCACAAGAGGACCTCGATTATCGGCCACTGGAATGACGGACGAGGAAAGACAGGCTGGAGAGATTGATGGTTGTAAGAGTGAAAAAGAACCCTTTCTGATTATTCTAAGATTGCCACAGAATTTAGAAAATGCAATTCCCTAACACATATGGGTAAAATTTCCTAACAATTGAGAATATGCCAAATGGTTGAAAAGACATAATTTGAAAAGGTTTTCACACAAAAGTTGTTTCAAATGTCAAACCCATTCTAGAGAGCAATTGATGTGACCCAACATTTCCTCGTTTTCCCCGACTGTGGTAACCCTGCTACCTGTGTCAAATATAATTTTTCCACGGTACACAATTTAACACGTTGACTGCCACGGTGTTTTAGGTACTTATTTCCCCCGGCGCCATAGCCTTTTCTTTTTGGTATTTTTTTTAGAATTGACTATATCAAACCTAAACTTCATAGACCTTCGTAATATTCTTTCAGCTTTCAGCCTGAAGCCGCCGGTCGTTACGACCGGTATGGCCTCCGGTGAAAAATAATGCACCGGAGGCCACGCCGGTCGTCCGGCCGGTCGTGTGTTCCTTGAGAATCAGCAACGTTGCGTGACTCGCGCGCAGTCACCCTACAACCTTGAACGGCATGGAATTACTGGTAAGGACTGGTAAAACTGGGTAGGAGACAAACCCAGATACCCCCTAACACCGAGTTTCAGGCGAATCCATCGGCAAAAAGTCGAGGTTGCCAATTGTTAACCATTTTGAACTTTAATCGGCGGCCATTTTGAAAAATTAGGGTTTTTTTTAAAAATCTAACGTCAAATTCGTTTTTCTCGTGCCAAAATACCTCCAGATACCGAATTTCAGGTGAATCCATTGGCAAAAAATCGAGTTTGTCAAATTTTCGGCCATTTTGAACTATGACCGGCCGCCATTTTGAAACGGTTTGAGATAATGACCTCGGGTTTGCGCGAAAAAATTTCTTTTTTTATGTTCTTTCGAACGAGGTATCACAAAGGGGGTCTTCCCATTTGAAAAAAAAAGTTAGGGTCTGTAACCCCCCCCCTCCCCAAGGGGGGGGGCCCCCCAAAATTTTTTTTTGGGGGGGGGTTCAAAAAGTAGCTCCCTTTGATCTAGGAACACCCTCCAAGTTTCAAATCTCTACCTCAATTAGGTCAAAAGTTAGGAGGGGGGAGGGGACTTTTCGAACACCCTGTATTTTACCTTTTTACTCCTACCTCCCCCCTCCTAAAAAATTGTTCCTCCTTTTTTTAAAATTTATTTTTCAAGTTGTGCCAAAATTGAAAGGTCTAAAATTAATATTGAGGTAAAAAACCAACGATTGTAATTATATTCTAATTTAAAACAAAAAAAATAGCGAAAAAGAAAATTAAAGTTGAAAGAGAAAAAATCCCCCCCCTCCCAATTGTTATTCCCCTTTGTTTACTTTATTTTTCAAAATGCGTACAATTTCTAAGGTTTGTAACTAATATTAAGCAAAAAAAACAACACTATTGTAATTTTATTGTACTAATAAATAAAGATGATAAAGAAAAAGATCCATGAAAATGAAAAAAATAAAAAATTCCCCCCCCCCAAAAAAAAAACAAAAAACAATAAAAAAAAAAATTCAGTGGTGCATTCTCTTGCTGGGACCATGCCGGTCGTGAGCCATAAGCGTATACACGGCTCCGCCGGTCGCTGGCCTCACAGTAGCCTAGTAATGCGAGCGAGTGGGTCCCGGTCGAAACGACCGGCGTGGCCCCGGCAGAACCCTTCGAGGCCGGTCGATACGACCGGCGTGGCAGTCAACGTGTTAAAAGAGTTGCACTTTTGCTGTCCCTGCACCTTTTATCCTTCTTTTGTAAAGGTGAAATTTCTTCCGGTAAATCTAAGTTTTCTTAAAAGGTAAGTTCCTTCATTTTTCATCCGATAAATGTAAATTTTAACTTGACAATTTAGCTAAAACAATTTTCTTTAAGTTCAAGCTTTACAGCGTAATTTTACTTTTAGATAGAATTTGACTGTCTTTCATTTCCTCTCATTACTACCTAGTCGGATAAGCACTGCCTAAGTGAAATGTAGAAAGCTCTTAGCCTTTTCATTTCAAGAATCCCTTATCCCTCGAAAATTTTAACGCTTTAGGAAAGAATTATTGCTGCATACGCAAAATTACTTCAATTTTCATCTTAATTAGGGGGTAATGTGATCTATCTTGAACTGCCACTAAAGAGGTTTATGTACGTCTTGGTACTGCTGTCAAGTAGTGTCCTATTTTCATTCTTTACTCTGAATTTGAGTAGCCGGAAGTTCTGCTTGCATTTTTTCTCTTTACTAAGTTTTTGGAATGAGTTGACTTTAAAAATTATTTTGAATGATCAAAACTAAAATTCAAGTGAGATTTTGCACACGAATGAAAACTCACCCTTTGCCTTCATGTAAAGCGAGTGATACAAATGCTTGTCAATTTTCTTAGCATCTCTGTATTTCTTTAACAATCTTCTTAAAATCCGTTGCCTTGTCATCCATAGAATCTGTAATAAATTAAAGACAGTTGACAATACGAGCAAGGTGTCCATGTAAGGTTGGTTGGTGGGTAAATACATTAATTTGGGGCTGCCTTAAAAATACAAGGTCAAGGTAGATGAAAGGGGTATGCTCTTTTGCAACAGACCACCCATAATCGACCGAACACAGTTGAGTTGCTGCCGTTTCAGTGTTGGCAGGAGGTTGGAAAAACAAATACTGCTTCCATCAGATCTGATTCATACTGGTCCGTTGAGGCTTGTAGGCATTCTAATACCAATAAAAATCCATTAAGATCTGATTCATACTGGTCCGTTGAGACTTGTAGGCATTCTAATACCAATAAAAATCCATTAAGACAGAATCGATGATTCAAACAGAATGGAATGATGCTGCTCATTTTCTGATAGGTCTTCTGTTTCCAAATAGATCACTTTCACAATGCACTATGATATGGCATAGACCCATCAGGGAGAGCAGAGCTTAAATATTTCTCTATTTTTTCAAAGCTGCAAAGCATAAAATGCTTTTTTTGAGGTCAAATAATCTGACTAGACAAAATGCTAAGGCCCAGGACAAAGAGATGAAGCTCCTCTTAATATATTCTTGCATGGACAAAAACTATGGAAAGGCAATCTAGGTGAAAAAGAAATTCCTAAAACGTACAGATCATTGCAGCAAGTCAGCTTGCAAGTTTGGAATGAATAACTTAAGCCGACTCCACACACAGCAAATGGGAACCTGCAAGTGGCACGTCAGTTACATCCATGATCGTGCAAACTGCGTAGCCCGCACAGTTTACAGTGATCAGCACTCAACACAGCGGCACCGATGTGCAACTGGCAGGTTCCCATTTGCTGTGTGTGCAGTCGGCTTTGAGATAAAGGTCAATGCAAAACTAATGGGAAATTACTTCTTGACTAATTAATACAATGACTCGTGGCATGACATGAACAAAAATGTGTCCATGCTTGTTACATGGCCTACCTTAAAGGAAGGCACAACTGATTAATGATTGAGAAGATTTTTTACAATTACATAGATGACGATTAATTTCTGGACCTGTATATGTGATCAAAAGCCTTACTTTGACTTCCAGAAGAGAACCTCAAATTTTTCGACATTAAATTGCGCACCATCAATGAGAGATTTAGGTAACTAGAAATTCAAAATTTGATTTTACCTTTGTTGGCATACGAGCATTTGCAGTACCCTTCCTTTTACCAATACCACGATGACGACCTTTCCTTTTGGCTGCTGCACGTTTACGTGCTCTTGCTCTGGAGTGGATCGCATGAGGCTTTTTGATGATCAAACCATCCTTGATCAACCGACGAATATTTTGACCTAGGAACAAAAAATAATGTAGTAATAAATAAAAGTATTTAATATATTTGTAGATTACACAGAGTATATTTATTTTTCTGTCAAAATAAGGTGCGCAGTGATTGCAAATACAAGGATAGGTATACGATTATGACTATTTTCGAAAGCAAATTGGCAGATACTTGGCTGAAACAATAAAAAGAGGATTAAATAGTGTTTCAATCGAGACTCTCTGAAATTAGAGTTCAAGGGTGTTTAACTTGAATCAAAGTTTCTCTCAAATTTTCGAAGATCTTCCACAGCTTCAATCTGTTACTCAGCTGTTCATTTCGGCAACTAAAACTCGAGAAGAAAAGAGAGGACAAATTTCGCATCAGATAATAGCATCATACAGCATAAATTCGTGAGATAACCGATGGGTCAACTGAGAATTGATGCATTCCGAAAGATATGATACTTATCCTCTCTTTTCTTTCCCCAATTCTAGGGAAATACAGTGAGAAGCTAACTACGGAAAAAATAAGATAATTCTGTACTTACGGGAATTAGTATTGGCTATTTCATTGATTTCATTAGGATCCAACCATACTTTCTTTTTACCGCATCGCATAACACAGGCTGCTAGCCTCTTCTGAAGTTTTAGAGAACTGTAAAAAATGCATAAAACTTTAGTGAAAATAATACACAGAAATTTATGTGCATGGCAGTTGTTAAGCAATAACATGGATAATTGGCACACTGTGGACCTTGATTATGATAGAAGCTCCTAGGAGTATACAGAATCGTATAAGTAGCCTTTGATGGGGTGTTTCTCCTTACAAGAATAAAGCTTTCACATGATATCGTATTTTGCAGTGGGGTTATAGGCAACATTAGCCGCGGGACAATGCTCAGAATACCAAGAAATCTGGCGCGGGCTACATTATTATATACTTTTAAACGATGATACTCACAACCTCTTGAGCACAATGAGCTATTAAAATCAAACATTCTGTGTGCCAATCTCAAGGGAGTGGAGCTAAATAATGCCTTCCTTGGCCCTCATGTGCGCAATTTCAAATTGATATGTGGGACTGTGGCTACTTAAACATGGACTGCTTGCTCTTATCGCTCTGAGGAATTTGACTGTTTCCACCTGTCTTATCTTCCCAGTTCAGGAGGAAACTAAGGATCTCCTCGATCAACATTGAGATGCTGCGACATTTCTCCTGGTTAGTACATCTAATAATGCCAGAAAAAACGCTATTGGGCACCAGTTCTCTTAAGATCAGCACATAGAAATTTAGATTGTTAAAGATTATGTTGTGAACTATGGAACCGCGCATCTCAGCCAATGCAGACCTCAATTGGATTTTACAAGTAATTGAATAGAAAGTTTGCTTGACTTAAGGAATGGATTAGGCTAACTTGTGTGAGCTGCACAATGAATGACAGTAACTTGCTAGGAGGGGTGGTTCAATACCCCCTAGACTGACCATACCTAAACATTGCTTTGAGGTTAAAATACATCTGGTTGTAACGTTTAACACGGCTCTTATGGGGAAAACCTGAAAAAAGCTATTTTTGTCTCCTAAGAGTAAAATTAGACGGGGCAAGAATTTTTTCCCTTAAACTTCAAGTATGAAGGCCTTGAATACATTTAACTTTGGCGGCGGAATCTGTTTCTGGGTGGAAAAAAAAAAATTTTAATAGTGGAAGTACATACTACATAGGGACTGCATCCGTCAAGGGAATGGGGAGGAGGGGAGGGGGATGTGGTTATCCACTTGAATGTTTTAAATTCTCTGCCAGGAAAGTGATTCAGTGGCAAATTTTTGGTATAGATGTTCCACGAATATTATACTTCCAAGAAACGATCACTTAAGGCCACCAGTCATCTCATGTTGCTCTTAATTTCACTTATTCACTTCGTCCCATAAGGTCCTGTGTAAAAACTCACAACCTGATGCACTCACACACTCACAGATGAGTTCCGAATGTTTAGGTATGGT